ACCTTTCCCAGAAAAGTAGTATTCCCATGCCTCACTGAGGCAGAGAAAAAAATGAGTTTCAAGAGAGAGGAAATTATAAGTGAGAAATAGTTTTAAACTTGGAAATGGTCTGCAAAATGAATATTCCATACCTAATGAAAATATGAATTTAAATTTATAGTTATCAAGGCATGTTTATGACAAACTCTAAATTAAGTTACCTCTGAGCATTGAATTAATTCACCCTTAATTCATGCTGATTAAATTCTCTACCTCTAGTTATTCTGACATATTCGAGTAGCACTTTTCAGACTTTTCCTACTAATACCTATTTAAAACCCATTTGAGGTAAATAAATTTCAGGCAAAATCTTGTCTTGTTCTAGAATTACAAGACAGAAATAAAAAAATTTTACGTAAATTCTAGAAGTTAGAGCATTAATGGTTCTAAGACAAACTTTTCTTATTTTTCAGATTTTTATGTTAAAAACAGCCATTTAGTTAAGTGGATGATAGTTTGACTCTTCTTTCACTTTGGATATATTATCTACATGAACGTATGAACTTTTTCTGAGTGAAAGAATGAATTGCCCTATAAACATAAGCTCAAACTTGGCACTCATAGATAAGGAGTTGCCTAGTATACCATTAAAGCAAGTTGACTATATTCTCCATGTGATCTTAGTACGGCAATACTAAAAGACAATCTCTGGTCTTTCATTGTGCTCTCTTAGTCATGTTGGTAGCTGTTTCCTTCTTGGTGTGGTAACAAAAATAATTATGTTTTCAGCAAAAAGATGTCGGGAAGTTAACCATTACTAATAATTGCGAAAACAGCAACAGAATGTTGATATTTATACCTGATAACATTTACTGTTAGTGAAAATGAAAACTGAAGGCCTGAAGTCCCTTGAAATTTCAAGAAAGTCTTGGTTTTTATGTTAATTATTCATTGGGAGTACTCTAATGAAGTGATGAGTTATGCTAAGGAAAATCCAACAGACAAAGAATAGGGAACATTAGCCAAAAAGAGTTGGAAATTAGAATATTTCCATTCTATGTGTATTTCAAGAGAGTTAAATGGCTTATTTAAAATTAAATGGCCACATATAAAAGTATTCACATACATATAGCATATAGTTGCATGTGTATGTGTCTTTTAGGGGTTGTGTTGTTTTTCCGTTTTTTGTAGTCCATGCTGGCCTCAAACTCAGGATCCTGCCCTAACTTCCTGAGCTCTGGGATAATAGACGTATGCCACCATGCCCAGCTTATCTTGTAGTTTTTTATTTTTGTTTTCTTTTGCAGTACTGGGGTTTTGAGCTCAGGGCCTACACCTTGAGCCACTATACCAGCCCTTTTTTGTGATGGTTTTTTTTCAAGATAGGGTCTCTCACACTATTTGCTATGGCTGGTTTGGAACCACAATCTTCCTGATCTCTACCTCCTGAGTAGCTAGGATTACAGGCATGAGCCACTGGTGCCTGGTTTGTCTTGTAGTTTTGAAGACATTTAGGGAGGAGCCACATCTTATTCCTCACTTCAATATAGTAGATACTCAGTGAATAAGTGAGTAAAAAGTAAAAAGTGGATTGACATATTCAATGACAGGGAGCCAAATTAGCAAACCATTGGTTACTTGGAATATTAAACAGCTACTTGTTTAAAAAAATGTGTTAAAATGGACATGTTAGGTAAAATACTATAAAGTGATATCATAATGATAGGAAAAACATTGAATAAAATAAGATAGAACAAAACTTTATCAAAATGTTAAAATGAGACTAGAAGATTCAACTACTGGTATTGTTATTTCTTCTATTTCTATTTTTTCTTTAGTAAATAAGCTTCTGAATCTTATTCATTTTGTTTTCTATTTTTTGGCAGTACTGGAGTTTGAACTCAGGGCCTTACGTTTACTACTTGAGCCATGCCCCCAGCCCCAGAATCTTTTTAGTAAGAAATAAAAGGACAGCAAGCAGTGTCAGCCCCAATCTGCCCCTCTTCTCATTCAAGGAATATACATTCCTCACTAGGAATCCCCAGATCCCATCTAGTTACTGCAATGAGTTGAGTCCACAGTCCAGCTCATTGGTCCCAGTGATGTTAACGGTGCTTCCCATCAAGTGTGTGAATTCAGTACGGGTGGCTCAAGCCTGTAATCCCAGTTACTCAGGAGGCAGAGATCAGGAGGATCAAAGTTTGAAGCCAGCCCTAGGAAAAGTTTACGAGACCCTATCTCAAAAAAAAGAAAAAAAATCCTCCCCAAAAAGAACTGGTAGTGGCTCAAGGTGTAAGCCCTGAGTTCAAATGCCAGTACCATTAAAAAAAAGTTGTGAATTCCCATGCTCTGGCAACCAGTGTTTAAAGAAAAGTTATCTGCCTCAATATTACCTAATGTTAGGGGAATAAGGAGCAAGATGTTGATAAAACTCTCACTCAAAAAGAGGAAAATGGGAAACTGATCATTGGTCCATAAAGTATCAAATACTGTTGGATAATTACATCAGGGACTCTACGACCCTGATAAATTAATTTGCCAGTTTCTGATTCTGTAGGAGAATCTTCCTATTCCCTTATCTTACATGGGTCACACCTGAGATGGGTATTGTGGAGGATAACTTTTCTAGAAGAGTTAAAACTTTAGCAGTCTGAGGAACCTAACTCTAACACTGTTGACTCAGAAGTTGGTACCATTTTTCCCTTTGAGGCAATTGACTTTAGAAACCAGTAGTAGAAAGGTTGAGAACTAGCTAGAATTTTAAATTGCCTCAAGGGGAGGTGGGGGAGGGGATAAAATTTTTGAGTTCAGGTCCTGAGAAGAAAAGATTTTAAATTAGAACCCCAAACTGATATAACCTGGCAGTAACTTTTTTTTTTTTTTTTCTTTGAGGCTGAGCCTTGCTATGTTAGCCAGGTTGGCTTTGAACTCCTGGGCTGAAGTCATCCTCCTGCCTCAGTCTCGGAGCAACTGGTACTACATAGAGGTGGATGTCACTGTGCCTAGCTCTGGAAGTAACTTAAAATTATTAATCCTTAATTGGATTAAGATAATCTATACCTAATCTAAGTGATCCCCAGGGAACCATACCTCCCAATATCCAATATTTACAGCCTTACCTAGTCCCTTCCACATTGATGCCTGGTCATGCAACTTGCTCTGGCCAAAGCAAACATGATGCAAATAAAGACTTTCATAGCTTCCATCTTCATGTTTTCCACATCATTGTCAGAGAGTACAACTATCCTCATAGCCCAAGACAACTGAGCCATCCTAGTCTTGCCCAAGCCATCATGGAGTACAGCTGATGATACACTTGTATTGTGCCCTGACTGAATTTCTGAGCCAAAGAATATGGAATCATGAGCAAATAAGAGTTATTGTTTGGAATCATTACATCTTTGGGTAATTTGTACATAATCTGTAAATAACTGAAACACTGCTGAAAATATAAAGAATGTATATCAAATAACTTGTTGGAAGAGAATGGAATTTTAAAAACAGAGCAAAAGAAGACATGAAAGGGAAGCAAAGAAACATAGAACAAGTGCCACCTATAGAAAGTAAACAGTAAGATGGTAGACTTAACTCAAATATTGCTTCTAGGTAATTCTGTGACTGAGTAAGAATTACTCAAGACCAAGATCTTGTCTCAACATAGTTTTTAAAGATACTTCCTTTGTCAATCTATTTACCTATCTAGTCCGCCCAAATCATTCCCACCTTAGTTTAATAACCCTGCCTTGATGCAATTTAAAATAAACCTGCTGGGGAGGATACTACTTTTAATCTGGCTTAGAATAATGTGACAAAGGCTTGGAACCATGACCTTTTAAAAAATCATTTTTACGCTTACTTACCTTGTTTGGGCCACCCCCCTCTCCCCTCCCCATAGCTTTTTAGCACCTATTTTTCCAGACTTTTGTGTCTGGAATTACTAGGAATTTTTCCTAGGTAGGGATAATATGAATTTACTGTTTCTTCCTCACCACTGAAACTCTCAATATATGGAATTATAATCCATAGGCGCTTGACAATCCAGAAAATACGGCAATTTCACATGTGTATGTTTTAACGGTTCTGCAAGCTCCCTGAGGGCAGCATGGCGTCTAGGGGGATCAGGGTTGTGGCCCTAAGCCTCGTACCTACACTGCTGGCATGCAATAGGTGCTCACAGGTTTTTATTATTCTTATTCTTTTGTGGTAATAGGGAAGGAACCCAGGGCCTCCATCATGCTAGGCAGGCGCTCTCCCAATGAGCTACGTCCCTGACCCCAGCCATCTGTTAAATGAATTAGTTACTACGGTGCCTGCGGGCTTTTAAAACACGCGTACCCACTCTTCCATTGTCACCCCCGTCCCCCACTCCCCCAAACTAGGCTTCGCTTCTGAAGCTGCAGACCCTCCCCGACCTACGGGCGGCGGGCGCGGGGGCCCAGCCTTGCCCTCCCGTCCGGCGCGGGGCAGGCGACCCCGTCTGGCGGCAGCGGCGGTGGCAGCCGTTTGCCTCCTCTCGGGTCCGGCCGGCGGCGTCAGGGGCCAGAAGCGTCTTGTGAGGAGGCAAATAAACAAAGCCAACCGCACCGAAACGGGTCGTCCCGTTTCACATCCTCCCTCTCATCGGATGCCCGGGTCTCCTCGGAACAAAGTGACCCTCCATCGGTCCGGAGACAGGTGGAGCCCGCCCCACACGCAGCGCGCGTCGCCCAGCCTCAACAGCCACGCACCCCACGCCGCGCGTAGACGCGGACCCTCAAGGACTCAGCCGGCCCGCGAAGGGACACGCCCCCTCGCGGGATCGCTCGGCCGCCGCACGCGTACCCGCGCCTCGCGAGCGCGAGCGCGCCTCGCGAGCGCGCGCGCGCGCGCGGGGGGGGGCGGGCCTGTTTCCCGGCACCCACTGAGCGTCCGGCCCCCTCACCCCACCCCACCCCTAACCGCCCAGGCTCCGCCTCCGCGACGGGGCCGCCGGGAGGAGGCGACCGGAAGCCACTTAAAGCAGAGCTCGAGGTGACAGGCGAGCGAGCTGGTCCGGGAGCGCTGTTTCTTGCTTTCTGCGCTCTCGTCGGCGGAATGGCCCGTGCGCCGCTCGCCGCGTCGCCAGGCTGCGACCCCTAGACGCCGGCGACCTCCCTCCGCGCCGACCCCCGGCACCAGCGCTGCCCGCTACGCGGCTCCTGTCGTCAGTTCTCAAAAGACAGCTCGCCTAGGTAAAGAGCCGCGGGTGGGCTCCAGGCAGCTGAGGAACCCTGGCCCGGAGACAGGCGCGGGCCGCGCGGCTCCGACCCCCCGCGGGATCGTACCGGCTCTCGCCGATCAGGGCGATTTCTCTTTCGTTGGGGAATCCTCTGGATCCCATCAGTATCGGATGGGATTGGTTTACACTTCTTAGTCACTTAGTCTGGCAGGTGTATAAATCGGACCGACACTGAAGGACTGGGCGACGCGGTCGCCGGCGTCTCTACTTCGCTCCTGGGCAGGGCGGAGGGAGCGTCTATGCGGGCCGACCCGGGCGCGCTGGGGCGCAGAACAGCCGTTCGCGGACCCAGGGGAGGGAGGGCACGGCCGCCCCGCGATCCGGGCTGCATCCAGAAGTTTGAGGGCTGTTTAGCCTTAACTTTGAGGGCGCGCGGGTCCTCGCCCTCCTTCCCAGCGCCCAGGAAGCGCCCGCCGCGTTTCCCCGCGCTCGCGGCTCGGTTCGCGAGCCCCCGGGACTCGCGGGACGGTCCTCCGAGGTGGGTTCAAGGGGTAGAGAAGAAATCAAAGGTTGTGGAAGGCGCGGCGAGTGGCCTCGGAGATGCGGGGCGGGAGGAGGTGGGACGCTGGCTTTGCGGGCCGGTCGGGTCCCTGCCGAGAGGCAGGCGAAGCGGGGATACTCAGTACGAACCCCCCGAGTTGCGGAGCCCCGCGGCGTCCCCATTCGCGCTGCGCAGAGTTGGCGCGGCCGGAGCTGCACAAACGGCCGCGGCCGGCAGGAGGCGTCGCTCGGACCCGGGGTCGCGCGGCCCGCAGCCAGGCAGGCGGTTTGCAACCGGCGGTTTCCGTGGGAGGTGTGATCGGCGGGGAGTGCCAGACAAACCCGGGCGTCACAAGGTGAAGGGTGGCGCGATTGTGTCGCCTGCAGCGGGCGGCCGAAGGAAGTGTCCTTCCAATCTGTGTTTTTCTGTTATGCAAACTACTTGAGGAAGTAGGTTCCGTGGCTTTCCCACTCTATTTCTCTGCTCCCGTTTTGTTTCCGAGTTTGATGAAGGGCAATAAAGGAAAAGTGCGTGTGTGTGTGTGCGTGTGTGTCCCCACGTATGAATAAGATTGACTTAGTGTGTGTTTTGCCTTGGTTGGGTGTGATAGGAGTGGTTAGTGTGAATGCGTGGGGGAAGGCACAGGCCGGTTCGGCGTGGTGTGGTGGAGAGGGAATACCACAATCTGTGCCAAGTGAGCCTTGAGGCAAGAGCACCGAATGATGAATAATAACGCCTGGCTTGGCTGCTTTCCAGTTGATTTATGTCTCATGTCAGATCCCTTCTTCGTGAAGCTTTCCCTAACAATGCCAGCTCATGCTGAATTCTCCTTTTTCTACCTCTTCCTTTTGTACTTACGCTAACACTTTGTGCTTAGTATTTTATATTTCTGAGTTTGATTATGATGTACTTTTTATACATAGAGCTTTATGAATCTCTCCTATTAGATCGTTAATGTTCATTTTTCTGGGGATTCAGATTCTCTTTCTGGTTTTGACCTACAAGCAACTTAAGGATGAAATATTTCATGTGTGCCTTTTCTTTATTAGTTCAGTCCAACAAAATATTTATGGACCATCCACTGCCTGCATTGTGCTAGGTACTGTACTGGACACTTAGGATGCATACTTGATTAAATCAAGGGCCTTTGGATCAAATTCTCAGTCTGTCAGACAAGAAAAGAAAGGAGTGATTGTTATCCATCCTTTCTCACCTGGTGCAATCTCAACTATTTTCAAATTTCAATTTTTTTCAGAGTCTATCACCAGAAAGCATTTTGGTCTTTTTTAGCAGTTCATTAGGATTTTGAAATTTGGTGTGCATTTTATAATCTTGTGTTTCTTTTCTGTATTGCTCTTTTTATTGCTTTTTAAAATGCATATATGTAACTTTTCTGAAGACAAGGACTAGGACGCTTTTTCTGTATTATGGAGTTGTTGGTTTCGAGCATAGTGCAGTGGTTATTACCAAAGCTGAACACACTGTGGTATTCCTTCAGTGGTAATGTTTTTGGTGATTGCAAAGAAGGCCTTTAACAGTCTTGGGGGAATATGTTGGAACTTACTGAATGTAAAAATGCTTAACAGGCTCTTGGCTTTTTCCCATATAACAATTTAGTGTTTCATCTGTATATCCTCACACCCCAAATTCACTCACTATTTCATTTTGAAGTTTATCCTTCATTTGATGGACTCTTTCCCCATTTAAAAAAAAAAAAAAAACCTTTCCAACTCATGAGACAGATGATACATAACTATGAAGAGAACCACAGAGCTGCAGTCATCATGTAGATATTTATTTCCAACAGCCATCTCCCACCCTACTGTAGGCTTCCACTAAAAAATTCTACCCAGTAGAATTACAAACTGTTATAAATAAATACCAAAAGCCTGTTGAAAGACACACTCTGTCATCTACCATTATCTGCTGTGCTGTAGGCTTGGAGCTGTCATTTATCAATAAAAATTAAAATTGATCTCTAACAACTAAATATAGTGCAAGATGAGTGATTTCAGGGATTTAAGTCACAGCCCAACACTAAACATTTTAATGAATGAATGGGATTCTGTTGTCAATTTGTAAATGATCATCTTTATTTCTTTCCTGGTAGGAGTTTTAGACTCCAAGGAGCAATTGGAGCTAATCCACATCATGGAAATGGAAACCACTGAACCTGAGCCAGACTGTGTAGTACACCCTCCCTCTCCTCCTGATGACTTTTCATGCCAAATGAGACTCTCTGAGAAGATCACTCCATTGAAAACTTGTTTTAAGAAAAAGCAGGATCAGAAGAGATTGGGAACTGGAACCCTGAGGTCTTTGAGGCCAATATTAAACACTTTGCTAGAATCTGGCTCACTTGATGGGGTTTTTAGAGCTAGAGACCAGAGTGCAGATGAAAGCAACTTACATGAGCCTATGGTGAAAAAACCCCTGGAAATCAATCCATCATGTCCACCTGCAGAAAACAATATGCCTGTGTTGATTGCTGATGGGACAAATGTCGGGGGCCAATTACCAGAAGCCCCTCCTTCCACTGACACTCCAGAACAAGTGGTTCCAATCCAGGATCACAGCTTTCCACCAGAAACCATCAGTGGGACAGTGGCAGATTCTACCACAGGACACTTCCAGAGTGATCTTTTACATTCGGTTTCAAGTGATGTTCCTACTAGTCCTGACTGCATAGACAAAGTCATGGATTATGTTCCAGGGGTTTTCCAAGACAACAGTTTTACAATTCAGTACATTTTGGACACGAGTGATAAGTTAAGTACTGAGTTGTTCCGGGATAAAAGTGAGGAGGCCTCCTTGACCTTGTGTTTGAACTCGTTAACCAGCTACAGTACCATACTCACCAAGAGAACGGAATTGAAATTTGCGTGGACTTCCTGCAAGGCACTTGTATTTATGGCAGGGATTGTTTGAAGCATCACACTATATTGCCATATCACTGGCAGATCAAGAGGACAACTACTCAAAAGTGGCAGAGTGTATCCAATGATTCTCAGGAGCACTTGGAAAGATTTTATTGTAACCCAGAAAATGAGAGAATGAGAATGAAGTATGGGTATGTATAATAACAACTTATAAAACTGTTAAATGCTCTAGAGAAGGTAAAGAGGCTAAAAGCTTTGTGTGGTGGTTTCTTTCAAGAGTAACATGTTTTATTCTTTTTTGCGTCATTCTTTCGGCTTTATGCTAACCTGATTTTTTGATTGAATGCAAACCATTTACTTAACCAGACAGTGAATATTTTATGATTTGAACAGTTCAGGTGTCATTCAAAATGCTATTTTAATCGCATAGAATTTGCTTTCAAAAGAAAGTCCATGGTTAATCTTATTTTAACAATATACCTGATTTATCTAATTTTAAAGTCTTGCATGTTAAATAGCTGGTATTTTTTTGAGGAGAATAATATTTGAAGACTTTATGGCTTTCTTCACTTTGAATGGTATACTTTATCTGTGAATGATTCAGAAGTTCCTCCCATACTTCTGAATCATGCCAAAAGGAGGCAGAGATCAGGAGGATTGCAGTTCCAAGTCAGCCCAGACAAACAGTTTGTAATACCCTGTCTCGAAAAAATCCATCACAAAAAAGGATTGGTGGAGTGGCTCAAGGTATAGGCCCTGAGTTCAAACCCCAGTACCACAAAAAAAAAAAAAAAGTATATGTTTATCACTTCCATTAACAAAAAACAACTGCTCTGGAGTTCTGGTATACAAGATACGTGCATACATAACTCAGTTCTCTTAGTACTCTGAACAATATTTACTGACAGGGAACTGACATTTCCACATCTGAATGCTTCTTTGAACTTTAAAATGAAGAAAATGAAAGTTGCCATGTGTAAAATTGCTAGTGTAAGTAAGAGTAATGTGGAGTCAATGTGTAATGTTGATAGCTGTTGTATATGACCAATAGTAAGGATTAAAATTATATAACTTTATACTACCTGACTTTAGAGATTATGAGGTTAACTTGGTAGTATCACATAAAATGATTGGTTTGGTTTAGTACTGAGAGATAAAACCCATATGGGGGGAAATATAGCAAGTATCCCAGTCCAGAAGTTCAGGAGAGAAACTTTGAGAGTCATCTTTGTTCATAGATAAGCTAAGTTATACTACCCTGGAATTTATACTGTCTTGGAGAGTCAATAAATGAAGGCAGTAAAGCATTTCCAAGGTGTCTAATTCTGTTAGGTTTTACTTTTGGTTTTTTTTTTTTTTTTTGTGGCATTGAGGTTTGAACTCATGGTCTCACACTTGCTAGGCAGGTGCTCTTATTATTTTGAGCCAGTCTATCAGCCCTTTGTGATGGGTTTCTTTGAGCTAGGGTCTTACATTTATGCCAAACCAGCCTAGACCACTCTCTTCCTGTTTGTGCTTTCCTGGGTGACAGCTGTATACCACTGCACCCAGCCATTGGTTAAGAAACATTACAGAAACATGTTTTTGTTATTGTTTTGTTTTTAAACTCCTCTTGCTCCCATTTAGTGTTTTTTTTTTAAAGTATTTCAATATTTCACTTAGTACCTAAGTCCATGTGTCTTTTTAGCAACTTACTATCATGAGACTAGAACTTTGCATTTTGTGTTTCAAAAGGAAGTATGGAACAAGATGACAAATAGTATGAGGCCCAAGTTCAAAGAAATATTGAAGACCCCTTGGAATTAAAAAGTGACATCTATCAAGAATGTAGTTTTCCTGACTATAAGTGTATTGTCTTGATAATAAAATGCATTCAAGATTCCTCTTTGTTTGGGTTGCAAAAGTCTTATAACAAAGCTAAGTTCTTTTAACTTATTTTAAAGTCAGTATTGAAAGAGGAAAATGTTTCTCATTTTTTCTTAAAAATCTTTTTAATAAGGTACTCTCCAAAATTTCTGTTGCCCCTGAGCTAGCAATTCTAATTGCTGTGCATATCAAGGGTAATTAATTCTTACATACTTTCAATGCCACTCTAATCTTTCCATCTCTGGATTGTAGAAATCTACAGAACGGTGGCCTCCCACTTTACTCTTATGAAACAGATGTCCAGTCCACTGAGTACTTGAACATCTTGGTACATTAAGTTTCGTTTTGAGTTGGTCAGGAAGAAACTAGCAGAATCATTGTCGAACACATTACATTCTGTTACAACTAGCAAGGAAAAACAGTCATTTTGATCCTAAAAGATCTAGGAATTCTTAGGTTAGCAACATATTGGGTACTTATCCTTTGGTAAGATTATTTTGCTGAAGAATAGACATACAGGCCCATAAACATGCATTGTTGAATCAATTACAAAGTAGTTGCAGTGAGCGCTCGGTTTCCTAATCAATTTTAATGAAGTAAATTAATATTTATCAGACACTTAGAGGAAAAGTATGAGTGAGTTACTATTATTATAATTAATATTGCTGTACTACATTGTAAGTGTCCTGCTCTGATAAAATAACAATAACTTATAAACTGTTGATTCCTAGTAATGTGAAATTCTCAGTGAACTACAGGAAGAAGTAGCTAAGTATCAAAAATTAGGCTTTTGGGAAATTGACCTGTGGTCATTGCAACCTGGTTTTCCTTGTATTCCAAAGCGATGTTGTGTTTCCTGGCAACAAGATGCAGATAACGGCATGTTGGGCCATGCTGAGAGATTCACAAACAAGCTAGAGCAGCCCAGGTTCACATGGTTACCACATTATTTGGCTAAAGCTATTAATCTCTGTGGTCAGGCCTGTAAAGCTGGTCTATCTGTTCAGATTGCATATAACCAGAAAGTATGTGTTCAGCTGTGTATGTGTCCGTGTTGGACCCAGTACTTTTGGATTCAAGAATAGTGACTAACGAATGACATTTGTTTATTCTAATTGTTTTCAATAACTTATATGACTTGGAAAATTGTTATTATGTACTGTATCATATTATATGATGTAGATGATATAGCATATATGCTATATATGGAATAGCATATATACCATATATTATATCATATTATACTATATATATTACTGTGTGGAACTTGGGGAAAGTTCTTAGTTCTGGGTCCCTAACAGAGACAAAAGTTCATAATTTTAAAATATGCGGATAAAATTCTTTATATTGCTTTGCAAATGTGAGGTTTTAACATCTAAATTTAAATTAACACCTAAGTTAACTTAAATTAGATGTATAGTGTTCATTTTTGTTGTCAGGAATGAACTGGAAAGGAAATTGAGCTTGGTAAATTCGTAGTCCCCTTCCAGATCTTTGGTCAAGAAGCTTAATACTAAAAACACATTTTTAAAAAGAGGATTTCAATAATAAATGCTTATTTGATCTGTTATAATGAAATTATGGTACGATCCCCTTTGCTTTCTGTTTTTGTATGTCTGTAGATATTTATTGCCAGCATCAACTGGAAACAAGTTGTGTATATGAACTCCTTAGATGCTGATGCTTCTTTTGTACATAAGATAAACCTTAAAGAATTTCTGAATTTAAAATACGCACTTGAGGAAACAATGATGAATGTTGTATTTTTGATTAAGAAAATACAATCTCTAAAAATTTAAGCACTCATCCTTAGTAAATGATGATACTGGATGGCAGAGCTAAGCAGTTTTAAAAGAGTCTTGCTAATTGGAATACTAGTGGGGATAATTGAAATTGTGGAGGCAGTGCAAATCTCTCTTCAGTGACCAAGATCACTACTGGTTTTACATTAGATTCATTTTAAAGTGTGCCGGAAAAGCTTCTAGTTATTACCACCTATTAGGAAGGAAGGGACATACTACAAACTATATTTTGGAGGGTACTTGCTGATGAGGGTAGCAGTGAAGAAGAAAATTCAAGCCCCTGATCCATGGTTGATTCTTCTCAGAGGACAGAGTTCTGTTCTTTTAGAATTAATGCTTATTGATAAGAGGTAGTGTTGCTTGTTTAAGCCTTAAGCCTAGAATGTTGTCATTGCTGTAGTTGCTGAGTGATTTTGATTGCTATTGGTTCACAGGAGTCTTTTAAAAAAAAATCTGTCCAAGGAACAATACTGTTAGATGACTTCATAGAAACTGTGTAAGAAGACAAAGAGGAATGCATATTAACAATAGTAGAAAGCATGTATTGTTGTGGTTTATGACTTGCAGAGTGAATTATCTAAACTACAGCAGGCTCCTGACTGAACTCTGCTAGAATAGTTAAATTAGCCAAGTTAGCGCTGGCCTACACAGCTGTGATGATGTATGAACTAACTCATTATGTGTTATTGATAACAGTGGAGAGGGGAGAACAGCTGAAACTTACTATGCCTTGTGACTTTTTGGTATTTCTTGAATATACACAGCTGTATGAGTTTAAATTTATTTTAAAAATTCCTAAGAGAAAGCTCCATAAGCAAGGACTACATTTGAAGTGACTTTCAAAATGTGTGCCTTGTGCTTTAGGATAAAGCAGCCCAATGAAATATTTCTTCTGTCGCTTTGTGCTGCTATTTACATATGAAATAAAACTAATTGGCTTCTATCTATCCTAATCTAGATAAGTTACTGAGTCTGGGTAGAGCTATCACAGGAATCAGTAGCAATCATTCATGTATTTCCTTTCAGGCTTTTCTTCAATAAGCAGATAAGACTTTTTAAAGCAGCTGTCACCTGACTTCAGGTTGGGGTCAGTCTTCTCCTGATGTACTTATGTAATGAAAGTGAACCTTGGAAAAAACAAAGATTTCTAACTTTTAAGTCAGACAGTTGGAATAGTTTTTAGGCTGACAATTGATAAAAGTAATTGCATAATACATTATATTTTATCATTGAATTGAATCCTAAGCTTTTAATTTTTATTGTAAATAAGGGGAAAAAGAAATAGTAATAACTCCATTCAACATTAAAAAGAAAAACTTAGTTCTGCACACAGTTGGCATGCAAAAATTGCTACTTTTGACTGATTGGCTCTGCTGTGCCTCCATAAATCTATTTTCTGTTTCTTGTTAAAGTAGAATTTCTAGATTTACATTCTACCATAGGGCAAAGTAAATTCGTAAATTCTATGTTATCTCTGAACCTGGTCAGGATCTTCACTTTATTCCAGGTTTGGGGGCTATTTT